TGTGTGTGTGTGTGTGTGTGTGTGTGTGTGTGTGTGTGTGTGTGTGTAAAATATATCAAGATAATGCCATCTTTTATCATTCGATCTAATATATACTTGATTAAAAAAGCATAAAATTTATATGGTCTGTAGAATTAATAAACCTTGTTTTATTTTATATATGTATTAAAAATTTTTATTTCTCTTTCTCTATACCTCTCTATCTTACAAGTAAATATTAATTTCCACAAAGATGTAAAAGTAAATCGGAATATATTATATATCTAGATATATATATAAACTCTTGAAAGAGTTGATGCACAATTAATTAGCGAGTTTGTAACAATAATTTTTTAAATATTTACTGAAACAAGAAGCATGTGAAATAATTAAGAGACTTGATTACGCAGCAGATGGAGCAATAGTAGATAACTTTTTGGCAAAAGATATATGTTCAGTAGCCATCATTGTCGAGAGAGAGAGAGAGAGAGAGAGAGAAAGAGAGAGAGAGAGAGAGAGAGAAAAGTGGGAGAATGGAGAACAGCGTTTGCCGAATCGTCTATTAATCCAAAGGATAGGATAGATGGATCGTGATTGGGTAGAGAGGGACGAGAGAGGGAAGAGATGACACTACCCCATCGGCAAGACCCAAGAATAAATAGCTATTCCATTTTGGGACTTGGAATGTCGTTGTTAGTTCAAGCTCTTGTCGTTCCTTTAAATATATTCAACGTTCATAAATTCATATCGGTGCATATCGGCGAAGAATAACGCTTGATAGCACATTGTGGCTTTAACTGCAAGTGTTTGGTGGTTTTTTGATATATTTAAAAGTATTGTACACTTTTAAATGCCTCTCGTAATCAAAGAGAATTTCTGAGCGGAGCCGCGGTGTGAGATATGACTGTGAAATGCATCCAGGTTTGATCGAATAATTATTTTTTATTACTGATAATCTATCAAGTAGAATTTCCTTCTTATATGAATAATATTCCAACATCTTTCAAATTGTATTTAAGCGGATTAATCAATATTGTAAATTGTTTCAATGGCATGTGACGTGATCTATCGATTTACTAAATTACGTGTAAATTTTATCAAATATTATTCTAAAACTAACTGCGAAAAGAAATTTATTGCTACACAAAGAAGAAGAAACGCAAATGCTTCGCAAATTTGAAAGCACTGCGTCTAATATAAGAACAAGAGCGAGGAATTTTGTTTTCGAAGCTGTTTGTAACTTGAGTGCGGTTTTGATTTTTTTTCTTCATTTATACACTTGATTCGACATACGCTGTTTTGATTATCAGAACCGTGAAACTGTTTATTTAGTTTACGCACACGTCGAAAAGTATCAATTTAATATAAACTCATAATAGATATCCGAAAGACAGTGAAAAAAATAAAATTAAACTTGACTTGATAATTTTGATTTGAAAACAGTCACGTTACTTTTTATTCTGTCAAAGCTCCACAAAACAGTAATGTAATATAAACTTTTAAAAATATAAATTATTAAAAGAGAAAATAAAATTATTACTATTTTTACCATTGTTTTTGACAATCTTATATATCCTAATATGTTTTTATCTCCGTGTGTTGATTAACACGTTGTTAAGATTACTAAGATTACTATTTTAATTTGCTTTTATTGCTTGAATACGTGAGACTAAATATATAATAAATTATACTACGGTATGATTTCATGGCTTAATATATCATCTTTTTTTTTACTTTTTATTCGCATAAAGTGTTCTGCTAGATTAAATATATCAAACTTTCCGACATTTTCTTCGTATCGTCTTCTGTTGTGCGCGTACGCGATTCTAATGATCCTCTGTAATGTCCATTTCCGCGTAAACGTTCTATGAAAAATCGGCCCTTTGCCGTTCACGGCGTCCTTCTATTCATCTATTCCGTGTTATGATCTTAAAGTATATATATGTCTCGTTTGGAATTTCGAAATACTACTATACGTCGTCGGTTCTCTCGACCTTGACTAGATAATGTTGGTCACGCGAATTTTGCAAGATATCACAGCAGACAAATGTTGAAAGTTAACTCTTCTTTTATTCACTGAATATTAAATATTTTAAAGAAAAATGTTTATTGATTTTTATCGATCATAAATATACTTTTGATTTCATCACAATGGAGGCTATTAAAAACAAAAGAGTTGATCTTGTTGCACATATTTTACACATATTATTATATTCATCACATATTAATATTTATATATTTGTACATTGTCAGGGAAAAATGATGTCTCCATTATCCGAAAACCATGTTTGCCTATAAGAATAAAGAAATATCATGGTGAGTACGTGCGCAAGCTTCCTTTCTAACAAAAATCTCGGTAACGATCTTCTATCGTCGTACGACGTGCACCATATAATTATATTTTTAAACAACTTAACACGTGTATCAAGTATGGAACGATGAAAATAAATTGTGAGTTTTGAGATCAAACAATAAAACTGTAATAAACAAAAATTTTAAATATTACATATTTTAAATTTTATTTTAAAAGATAAATGCATATACATACATAACATGAAACACTTATAAAAGTTTCTTACAACTGGTAGTAAACTAAAGTTTAGATTTAATAAATCTTTCTACATTCTCTTAACAAGTATTCTGGTATAACAAGTCGTAAAAAGGAAAGTTATTTTTCAGGAATTTTTTGTAGAAAAACGAAAAAAGCGATCAACGTTAAACTTTGTATGTTTTCTCTTAGCCTTATTTTAAGACGATATGTCTTTTTTATCTAATCAACAAAAACACTCTTCTTTTTTATATTATAACCTGGTCTATATAGGTATGTACACGCCGGTATTCCGTACGTACAGAAGGGGACATATAATATCGTTACATTTACATGTCACACACACACACACACACACACACACACACACACACACACACACAC